CTACATCGGGAGCACTTAAGTTCAACCTGCATCCCTTTGCTTGTGAGCCAAACCGCAAAGGGGGTCACCATTAAAGATATTTGCCATAAGATCAAAACTTGTTTGCCATTTAGGAGGTTAGTCAGCATCTCCCACAGGTTTTGGAAGGACGTTTTTGCATCCGATACTTGATCTTCAGAGAATACTGTCTGCCATCTGCAGGGGACCTTCTATTGGTGTTTCTTCAATCTCAGGCTGTATCCCTTCGCCACTGAGTACTTCGACAGTCGCAATTGAGGGCATCTTACTTCGCCCGTTGTCCATCTCCACGCAGCCGGATCAATGCGCAGTTTCCTTAGCGGGATTTGGCCAACCCAGACCCACTTAGCCTTTGCTCCCACTAACCCCCCACATCCCACTATTCTCGTTTGTGGAGGATTTTCCCAAGCTCTGATGACAGACTCACTGATATAGGACAACTCGTTTGAGTGGAGCTGACAGAATGAAACCACCGGATAGGAGTTCTAGCAACATCCATACCTCCCCTGATTCCTCTCTTTCTGCACAGTACCAGGTCCTTGCAGGGTCGGTCTCCTCCGGGCCCAACAGTCTGCACCAGTCCTCCGGAATAGTCTTCAATAGTTGTTTTCAATGGTGCACCACATTTCTCAGTGGAGACAGCGTTCCCTGCAGGTCTGCTTGGAGCCTCCACGTTCACAACAATGGTTCCCAGATATTTCCTACCGTAGCCACTTCTTTCCGTAACTAAGCTAGGCCGAAAGAACTTGCTGAGCCGTCTGTCGAGAACCAACTGTCGTCTCCGTTCACTATCTCAAGATTTTCAAAAAGAATTTGGGCTTGCACTTCTTCTTTCGTGACAGGCTGGGTACATCCGCCCGACGGTAACTTGCTCCAGGCTTTCAAAACTTTGCGCCACAATCGTGATCTCACTCGTTTATTTTGAAAGGAATGGATAAACATAAAGGATCATACATCTTGTGGGCGGCGTAGGTCCCATTCCTGCATAAGTATCTATTTCGCTAGCTCCATCCAATGTTCTTTCGGTGGAGCATTTGCTACCCTGGTCAGCCACATACTGAATTGAGTTTGATTCTTCGACATAGGTTTTACTGGATTCCTGCCTCCTTCACTTCCTGGGAAGGTAAGCAACTCCCAAGCTACTTTGATCAGGCAACCCTCTCCTTCTTTGGTTCTTGGTTTCCAGATGAAGCGAGTCACCAACCAATTGATAGTCTTTCACACACTCTCTGATACTTCCCTCAGTGAACTCACGAACCACATGATAGAGAAAAGGACCACATTTGTTACTTGCGCTCTCCCGATGATCGACAAGTGTCAAACCAGCCCCCATAATCTCAGTGTTGTAGTTACGCTTTGCTGCAGCAGGAGACCTTGTGTAGATACTCCTATTTGAAGAGAAACCAAAACTCCTAAGAACCTCTCCTCCTCTCCTTCTATGATCCTTTTCATCCCCCATTACATGAAGAGCTCGTATTGTGCTGGTAACAAGAAGACCGATTTGTTTCAGTTAACTGATGTCTCGGATAGGGCCGAGTACTTCGTGAGCGTGTGTTTCAGAGTACACAGGGATTTAGTGGAGTTCTCGTTGATGACAAAAAGGTTATCCGCAAAGACTTTGACTTTACACTGAGTGTCGCTTTGCAAAGTTAATCATTTGATGCTTTGATTTCTGTGAAGTATGTTAAAAAACACCTTCATTTATAACACAGAGAGGAGCGGGGCTAGTGGGCATCCTTGCCTCAGGGAGCGTGTGAGCTTTAAGGGCATTGACAAATGTCCATTAATCATTACAACTGACGTCAAAAGCGTGTACAACACTAAATTCGTGAAAACCTTACAAAACCACAAAACCTAACATTTTTATAGAATGAAAAAACCTAAAGTCAAACTCTTATATTTGACAAAAAATAACGTTTTAAACCGTTTTCCAATAAAGGAGGGAAAAAAACGAGCAAAATATCTAGCAATTCTCAAAATGTGCAAGAATTTTTTTTCTAGCAAAAAACATATTATAAAACTATAAGTCGTTCTTAGTATATTAAAAAAAATAATAGCTCAAACAATAAAATCTTTAAGGACTACAAGGTCAACTCAAAATATCTTAAAAAAAATTGTTTCGGTAAATACTCATTTATAGAACTATAATTTTTTTTCAACAGTTTGGTAAAAAACAGACTCTGCGAAAACAAGTTTATAGAACTATAAATTAATATAACTCCATTTTTAAGTTAATTGTAAAACCCTTGTCACAAAATATATTTAGTGTAAAATAAAAATTCAAACAACTTTTGCTTGGGAGACATCTTCAAATTTTTAGCCAATTACGATTTAAAATAAAAAAATTGAAATATGTTTTAATAAAAAACACTAAAAAATAATATATTCGTCGATGTATGGGTGAACATATTCAAGCGAATATATTCGCGAACAGGAGAATATGTGTGCGTGTTTGGGAACCCCCCGAATAGGTTCGTCGTGCTACATACCTTATAGAACTATAAATATGATTTTTTAAGATTAACAAAAATTTTAGATATTTGGGTTTTTGAACAAATGGTGCTTTGCAAGGTTGTGATCTTTTGTAAAAAAACTTGCTTCTCTCCTAACCACTTTTAGTGGATCTGAAAAAATACTTTTTTTTGTGTGTGGTTAATTTACTTCACATAGAATTTTGTTCATGTAGGAAGGATGAAAAATGTACTATCAGAATCTTAAGAAAAAATTGTGCAAACCTAATTGTTGAATATCGTTCGTCCTTGCACAAATACACCTTGGTCACCTTCTACTAAGTCTGGTAGGTGACACCCTAGCTCTCTCGCTTGTATTTTTGCCGAAATCTTATATGACATGTTCAACAACGAAATTGGCCGTCAGTTGCTAACTTTCGTCTTGTCCCCCTTCTTGAACAACATGCTGATCACCCCACGTGTCATCCCTCTCCCTAGACGATCCCCCACAAGAATCTGATTGTACAGATCTACTGGCTTCGGGCCCATCGAGCCCCACGTGACACTGTAGAATTCCACCGTTAGACCATCTATTCCTGGGGACTTTCCTTTTGCCATGGACTCGACTGTCTGAGTCAATTCCTCCAGGGACACCGGGCGATCCAAATCCAGCTTGGCCGTGTCCGACAACTTCACATTCGTGTCCTCCCACATATCCGAGTTGATTGAAAGATCAGTTGTCGGATCCTCTCATGGGCGCCTCGAGGTAAGTATGTCCTTGTAGTAGAGTTTTGCGTGAAGCATGCTTGCAGCAGTGGCAGCGTTCGAAGCATTGTTGTCGAAGGGATGGAGGAGTTCCACTGTCTGTTGCTGAGTCCGACATGACTGCAGTTTCTGAAAAGTTCCCTTTGTCATCTGGTCATGAGTTTCGATCCCTTTTTCCTTGAGCAACTCATACCATCTTTTCTGTTTGTCTTGCTGAATCATGTCCCATTCCCTGTTTTTTTGTAGAATGTTGTATGTTTTTCTGTGTTTTTTTCTTTTTTTTCTTTTTCTATTATGTACTACTGGTTGTCCGAGGGTCGGGAATAGAGTCTGAGGTTCGGGAATGATCGGGCTACTGGTAGTCCGAGCCTCGGACTTGATAGCTGAGCGAGGTACTGGTGGTTTAAACCACCGTGGCTGAATTGGTGCGCCACGCGGGTCAATCTGTATTTGCATCAGAGCCTCCCCAGATACTGGTAGTTGTGTTTTACTCTTTATTAGAGCTGTGGGAAAATCCGCACATACTTGATTACGGGACGCTATGGAGGGCCCTACCCCAGTATCAGCTCTGATTCCAGTCGCTCTATCCCTCAGAATGCCCTGCCCCCTGCAGGTACCCCATGAGATAGGGCTCCTCCTCTTGATGTGGCGTGTGTCATAGAGCCTCATTTCTAGTATCCTAGCGCCTTCCCGCGGACGAAACGCAGCCTCATTTCGGCTGAAGCGGACGGGAGAGGGAACTCGTATACATTCGTTACAAGGGTGAACACGGGTTGGCCGGGAGACAAGGGCGTGGGGTGCCAACCCCAACCAAGTAGGTGTGCGGCGGAGAGGGTGAGTGTCGACTGAGTAGAACCCGCTACCACTCCTTTGCAACGCGAGCTATCCGTCTCCGGGACTACCTCTGTTTGGCCTGCGCATGCGCGTTGGGCACGCGTGTGCTTCTGTCTGCTAGCGTGTGATTGGGCGTGTGCGCGTGCGTCTGGTAGGTGTGCGTTTCTCTGTCTGTGCGTGCATTTGCCTGTCTGCGTGTGGTAGGTGTGCGTTTGTGCCTGCGTGCATGCAATTGCCTGTCTCTGCGTGGACGGTGCCTGTGTATGTGCCTGTCTTTTTTTGGGGGGGGCGGGGCGGCGGGCGCATCTGTGTGGAGGCGTGCGCGCGCGCGCGCGCGCGAGAGAGAGAGAGAGAGAGGTTGATTGACTCAGTGGTTTATACCACCGATTGGTTGATTTAAAAATTTGTTCTCATTATTACATGTTTAATATTTATCTATATTTTCTGTGTGAAGTCGTGTGTGTGTGTGTGTGTGAGAGAGAGAGAGAGAGAGAGAGAGAGAGAGACAAAGAGAGA